GTGGGTGTGGATATAAGATTGATCTCATCAAGTATATCAACACTCACTCCACATTCATCTGACTCTGTTTCTTGAGAACAAATTCTCTTCCAACTTATAAAATATCTTCATTCGACTTTATAATTAAATAACAATCTACATTTTGAACATCAATGAAAAGAAAGAGAGTTATTCAAACTTCGCTATAATTATAATCAGGAAGGCAATAGTCATGCCTACTATATATCATTTTATATTACTAAAGTAATCATAGTAAAATATTTGATTATACTTCCTATCGAGGCTCGATCCTTGAACGTGATATCATTCTTTTTTCGCTTTTTCTCTCGTCAAGTGATCGCAATATCATGTAAAATATATGATGCATGACGAATATGTGTTCATTGAATGGGAAGAAAAAGTAACATATTATACAACACACATTTCATTAACAGTCTACAATGTCAAATCAAAGTTTTACCACCTTCATTACGTGTTACCGGTAGAACTTGTCTATCGAATTCTGGATCATCAATCGGATTTTACAACTATGATCAATGAATGAAGTTTGTCAACTTATTACTGAACTTCTTAAATACTCATATTTGTTGCTCGAATCGATGATTGATCTTTCATCAAATCGTCATCCAACAACTCTGAAGTCAGCTACATTTTTATATAGTGATATGATGCAATATATGTATCTGTTCTTCTTAAATATTCTGACTTAACTTCTATTGAAATGCACCTCAAGTGTTGTCTGGTGTAAAAATGAATAAATAAAGTATAGTCGTTGGTAAATATAGATACATGCACACAAAGACATCACATGATATTGATCTTGAAGATTAGGCAAAAATCATGTCTGAATTTCAAGAAATTCGAATTAAGATATAAAGTACTTGTATTATAATGGGCCGGAAGCTTTGAATGAGATACGGAATACAATATTTTCATATCTGAAGATAATTCAACGAAAACAGCTAAAACTAAAGCTGATGCCAGATAATGAATCATCAGCATTCTTTTAACATATTTTAGGTTAAATTTCCGATTTAGATGAACTCATCAGTTGAATTAATATTAGCCGTCTTCTGACAGTATATAAATTTGACTTTATTCTAGAATAAATTGTGAGTATTGAGAAATCTGTGAAAACCTTAAAATCGTCATTTCGTACTTGAGTGAAATTCGAATATAAATACAGTCGATGATAGATAGTGAATCATCAGTGTTATTTTAACATATGTTAGTTTTAATCCTCGATTTCTTGATAGTCAACATTCGGCATAGCTTCACATTACATTTACCACACGAGTCTGAGCTTTTGTGGCATCTGGTTGAATTCGTGCTAATTGTATTGGTTGAGTGATTGTTGTTGGATTAATACGTCTATTATTTCGCTTCATAAGTCTTAGAATTCGTTGTGCAGTCAATTTCCATGCATCAACAAAGCGACGATCGAATAGTGTAATAACTAGAACATCAGAAAGTGTTGCAGCAATATCAAGAACTTTTGTAATCAAACGTTGTGAAGTCGATGAAGCAACAGATAATAAAAATATAATTTGAGGAAGAAAAAAGAGAAACCAAATTGAGTAGAGAATAATAAATTGAATGATAAGATGTCGATGAATACGTCGAACGGATCGAACTGCATTTTGTGAAGAACGAACATGTCGAATAATCAGCATTATAACAGGTATATTGATACAAATAGGTAAGACAACAAGAAAAAATATATCGATAAATTGATTAAAAAAATCAGAAAAATCTAGATCACATGATAAACCAACAACCTCAACGAGTATAGTTGCTGAAAAAATATATTGTAGAATGAAAATGATTAATGGTACTGAATAAATAAATAAATGAATACATATCAAAAGAATAATAGAATGAAATGTGATTTTCTTGCTTTTAACAATCAGCCTATACCTGAAACAAAAGTGAAAAATACATTGTTTTTATTGTTTATATATTTATGTATATGACGCAGTTCGTAAAAAAACCTACACAAAGTATTTAAGATATTTAATATACATAACTAAAAAATTTTCTTCTAGAATATCCAAATCACTTATTTTCAGAATATTGTGGAATTACACTTGGAAAATAGATAAAATCGATCTTTTTTCAAATTCGAATGAGAATTATTGTTATTAACTCCGAATCTAATTTTTAACTGCTTATCCTTCGATATTCATCAAATAAAGATTCAAAATAATCAGCTCGAGGAGGCAAAGCTTACTCGCATGTATCATTCTATATGTCTGATTATTTTTATATAAAGTAATATATTAAACCGCAAGATATAGTCGTTGCTGGCAAATTTTTTAGATTATTCAATTTATGATATTAAAAGACGCATTTCTCTAACCTGCGGTTTTTCATATTGTATCAAACGAAAAAAAATTTAATCAGTTAAAATCAAGTCTGTGGAACATATTTGTCTATTTAAATCAGTTATATTTGACCTTTACTTGATGAATAACTTTGGAACATCTCATATCATTGAAACGAAAATTTTACTACAGTTTTCTCTATATAATTACAACATATCCTAATAATATGAATATTTTATAAGTAAACTTCTGATTTTCCACAATATAAGCACCCACGATTGTTATGAATAACATATAACCTGTAAATATTTGTTAGAGTAAGAGCAAATGATTGTACCATTGTTGTATAATTATTTGCATATGCTTCTAATACACATAAGAAATCGTATATAACAGGATTTAGTCCACAAATCTTATAATGACGTGTGAAATATTCTAAGAAAATTTGCGAAAGTGAAACCATATCAAGTATAAGATAATTATAAAGCCATAATAACGAAGGATGACGAAGAGATTTATATGCACAAACTTGAATCCAGAATAAAACATGACATGAAAATGTTGGAGTTAAAAGAATCAAACACATTGAATTATAATACGATTCTTGTCTATTCCATGCTATACAGTGATTTGACATTTTAGAAAAATGTTCCAAGGTGAATACCGAAGAATTTTGTATAGAATAAAGATCCATTATATAAATAGGAAAATGTTAGATTTTTTTTCTAAGATTTTTAATGAATTAAAAAACAGTATGACGTTTTTGAGTATTACTTCCTTTTTATTTAATTATAAAAAAGATATGTTTTACTTAATACCTTGATGTGATAAAGATTTTTGCCGTCTGAAATTAAGAAGAAAAGAATTCAAAAGAATACTTTTCATATGAATATTAATATTAGATTAAAAATTGATGAAATCTAATTTATTCTTTAAGAATTAAGATTCTCATTTCTTAAATCAAACCTTAATAATAAATGAAATATTTTTCGATTTGTCATTAAAATTATTATATGTCTCAACTATCTTAGTCCATAGAAGTGATAAGATAGAATTCATATTTAACTTAGTGTATTTGATAAATGTTCTTCATTGGATACCTTATTATGCATCAATAGTTTCTATAAATACAGAAAAATACTTTTTGCCTAGGCATGTAAATGAACATCTGATTATTGTAATTGAATTTTTCGTACAACTACAGTAATTCTATATTATTTCCCTGAGATACCTTGTTATGATCACTAGGGTTTAGAATACAGAAATACATTTACTTAACTGCAGGGACTTTATTTAATGATGTTGTTTAATTATTTAAAAATAACTCTAACATATATTATCATGATGATTCGGTGCAAACGATAAAAATATCTCTAACTATGATTAAAAACTAAATTTAGAAAGACAAATTAAGGTAATGATGATACAGTAGAAATCTTTCTCATAATTGCACTAGTTTACATTTATATTACTATTCATTAATCTCTTATTTTTCAAAACGGATTGTGTGTTTTCTATATTGAAGAAAATATAATAAGACACTATCAATATCTAAAAATCAGATGAGAAAAAAATCTATAGGATTTTGAATTTCAAAGTTATGTATAAAAAAGAAGAGTTTTAATCATTTTCTATAATTTTATAAAGTTTCTAAATATGTAGTTTTCATTATCATTGTCTAGATATCATATTGACAACAGCAAAAATCAACTTAGAAGTCATTCAACAGTGTCTTTGTGAGCGTTCGCTTATTACTTATTTTCTAATTATTGGCGATTCTGTTTCATTTTCATTTAATAGTGCTTTGACCTTTGAAAGAGCGATTATCACTGTAAGACTAACAGGATCACAGAATACAAATTAAAATTCTTTGTTCGATCATAAAACAAAACCGATAGAATTATCGATGAATTTATGTCTGGTTCGAAAATGTAATTATTCCTGTTTATAATATAAAATAAATTTATGTTTTATTTCGAAAAGTAACAAATACGGCTTCGATTAAATTTTAACATGTCAGTTTGTATTTATAATGAGAAAAATATTAAACATGAATCAAGAATAAGTTCAAATTTTCATACTTATGCTAGTCTAACGATGAGATTAATGTAATTATTTTACTGTCGGAAAAAAAAGAATATGTCATCATTTTTCAAGCCATTCAAATTTTGATAAATTTCAAAGAAAAATTACATAAAGATAAATATTATTAAGCAAAGCTTTTCATATTTCATTGACAGCAAAATAATTAAGATAAATATTCGATTAAAATGGATCAAATATATGTGACATACAATATAGAATCAACAGTACATGCATACACAATTTCATATATTTTAATTCCTTTTTTTTTTTAATACTTCATAATACAATCGTTGTTTTTTTTCTAAATGATATAGAAAAAAACTTTGAATAAGATCTATAGTCTTATGCATTTTCTTAATAGCTATATGGCATTATAGAAGTAGTCATAAATAGTATGTAGTTTCGTATCGTTATATATATTATAATACAATACAATCAAGAAAATGTATAAGTGTAGAATGAAAAGAGAAAAAATAAATTCCAATTGACGATTGTTCGTTCTGTCTTTCGTATGTTCTGTGTCACAATATAAATATAAGTTCATCGACGTCTTATTTTATACGATGTACATTTGTTTGCCGATTTCACCTTTACAGACATGTATATAAAGAATAGTCGGAGGGCTGTTTTACTTCTTAAACATACGGTTTAAATACAACAGCATACCTACATACATAATTTATAATCTTATTCGTTTTCATTTGATTGGTACATACCCCCATTATATATTCAATAATAAAACGACTCCAACTGAGTAGTACTCGATAACGTTATAGTAACAAACATACTTTTTTTCTATACAATCACTTCAAGAAGAAAAAAAAAGAATAGGTAAGTCAACTACTTATTATTATACATAAAAATAACACAAAAATATCCTTCATATATCTATGTATATTATGATTAACATTAGTATGTCACTTGAAATATGTAATATTCACTGTTCTTATGATGACTTTTTTCATTTTGAAAGAAATAAATAAAAATAGAATATCGAATATAATGATTTCTTTTATTCTTCTAGTATATGACATTAGTCATAAATTATTTTATGTTGTTTGATATTTCTAAATGATATTATTGACAAAATACTATCGATGGGACGATCCCAACGACTCTATATTTATATATTAATTGGTTTTTTTATTTGGTTTATAGTTTTTATTAGTCAAATTTTATATTTTTCATCATTTTCTGTTCATAATTATTGTTGGTTTTCATCTTGTAAAAATATTTTCGTCTCATCTCGAATTCCTCCTAACAACCAACAGAAAATTTTATCTTCCTATGAAAAATCTCTTCTAACACGTATTCACCATCAACCTCTTTTACAACAATATGAATCTCGTCATGTTAATTTTCTTCATCTAATTAAACCATCAGTAAAACCAAATAAATATTTAATTTATACATGTAATCAACCATGTGGTGGTTGGGGTGATCGTACACGAAAAATAGTTGGTGCTTATTTATTATCATTAGCATTAAATCGTACATTTCTCATAAATATGACATGGCCATGTTCCATAACAAATTTATTAGAACCAAATTTTATACAATGGAATCAAACAATAAAAAATCTTTCTCAACGAACAAATCGTACGATTGATAAACTTACTTCATCGGATAAAGATTATGATGATGTTTTATCATGGAAAAATATTGATATAATCTATTTTAAAGTTAAAGATTTAAGTTATTATCGATTAATATTATGGCGTGATGATTTTTATCGTAATCTTGATTTAGATTATGGTTTACATCGTTCAATATTATTTGTTCATAGTATATTTACATTAGTATATGAATTATTATTTAAATTAAAACCTCATCCACAATCTCATATGGATGAAATAGCAGAAAAATTTTCTTTAAATTCACTTCAATGTGCACATATACGTATTGGAAAAAATCCATCAAATCCAAATGATGTTGTTTTTCCAAAACGTGAACATATGAATACTAGTGTAATAGGATTTTTAAAAAATAATTCTAAATCACATGAAATAATATTTGTTTCAACTGATTCTGAACAAGTACATACATATGCAAAACAACAATTTCATTCACGTTTATTAACTGTCGATGGTATGATACGTCATATTGATCGATCAGGAAAAAAATTTGCTTGTCATGGTTTAGAAAAAACTATATTAGATTTTTATATGATTTCACAATGTCGTACAATGATTATGAGTAAAAGTGCTTTTAGGTTAGTTAAAATCTTTTTTCATTGTATCTATTTAAATCATTCTTATATTTTTTTTTCACATCTAGCTTTTGGGCAAATATGCGTCGATTGAAACCTTATGAAAATTTATATTTATATTGTGATGGAATTAAGAAAATACATGGTACAAGTGATTATGATCGATATCCTTATGGTCAATGTTAAGAAATTATGATTGTGCGATTTATCTATTATATGAATTGATTTGTTTGTTTTTCTTTTAATAAAATTTTATGAGAATGTCGTCAACTGATGAAAAATATTTTATCATTGTTGAATTTATTTTATTTTGTTTTTGGAGAATATATATGTGTCAGGTGTTCTATTCTAATGATTGGTATTATGCTTGTCTGTCATGAAAATAAGACGCAACATGTGTTTTTAGTACACATCTATCGTGGCACGATAAGTGGGCTTTCTCATATGGATTAATATAGAGTTGATTATCAACACTAGCATGTCGGCATAATCATTCGTATGCCAGACTCATTTGAATGAGAGAAAAAGAATTGACAACATATATGGTTGCAAAGATCAACAAAATATATATATATATATATATAGATTATTTCCTAAAAAACGACATTGATAGAGTGAAATAATAGAAAATATCATAATGCAGAATTTTTCTATTTTTCTATTAATTGTGATTTCTAATATTGATAAAAGTAGGTGCTTTTTTTAAATATTTAAAAATCTTCATTATTATTTTCTAGTATCATCATTGTCTTGTTATCAATGTTCATCAATTAATGGAACTAATCCAATCTGTGAAGATTCATTTCAGGGAGATATAGTTGGTAAACCATCACTTCTTCATACTCCATGTATGACTCAATTACGTGACCGTAAAGGTTTCTTTCCTGCAACATATTGTATTAAATTAGTTGCTTACTCGGATGGTAAAATATTGTCTTCTTTATTATAATAAATAATCATATTCATTTATTTGTAGACTCTAAGCCTATTCAATATATATATCGAACGTGTGGTCGAGAAGAAGCTGATGATAATGGAATAAATCGTGTTAGTCATTGTGGTTTTATAAAACTTCATTGGATTCATCCATTTAGACGATTTCGAAGTTGTTTACATATATGTGATAAAGATGCGTGCAATCAAGCTAATTATTTTATTTATTCAATGTGGAAAATTATATTTTGTTTTAGTTTATTATTTATAAATTCATATGAAAGCTTTATATAAATGAAAGAGATATAATGTGTCATTATTAATTGATGTAAATACGAAATTGACATAGAACAGATACAGAAAGTCCTTTAGATTTTTGTTTGTTGATAAATATAAGTTATACAAATTAT